CCCCATTTCGTCCGCCTTAATATTCGACACCTTGGAGTAATACTGCTCACACTGATATTGATGTACACTCCCACATACCCCTCGGGGCGGTGCCACTAACTGAAGTGTCTTTAGGTTCTTATGCACAGTTGAATTTTAAATGGACTAATTCATCAAAATCATGCTCATAACTGTGCCTGAACTGCAACAGGGAACTACTGCTTTTTCTTTTTTCTTTTTATTATCGTCATTTCCCCCTACTTCTTTTGTATGTTTGTCACACTTTTCATCATCATCATTGCCTTTCTCACCCTGGATCAGGGTATAGGCCACGAACAAACACTTTCCACCGTTCCCTATCCTGGGCTAGTCGCTTGATGTCACTCCACGTCTTCCCGCTTTTCTGTACATCCATTTCCGTGACTCTTCTCCAGGTTCCCCGTGGTCTTCCCCTTGATCTTTCCAATCTGTCACTTTCCTTGTTATGCAGCTGCTTGACTTCCTGAAAGTGTGTCCAATCCATCGCCAACGTTTTCTTCCCACCCCATCTCTGACTGGGCTCTGTCTCGTTCTTCTCAATACTTCCTCGTTGGTGATCCTGTCTGTCTATATGATCCTCAGTAGCTTCCTCAGACACTTGTTTAAAAAACCTGGATCCTCTTTATGCACATCTGAAATGCGTTCCACATCTCACATCCATACAACAAGGCTGACTTCACATTTGAGTTGAAAATTCTAAGCTTTTTTGTAGTGAGATATCCCTGGTTCTCCAAATCCTGTTCAAAGAAATAAATGCAGTCTGTGCTTTTCCAATGCGGGACTTTATTTCAGCGCCTGTTCCTCCCTCTTTGTCAATTACACTCCCAAGGTACCAGAAGGATTCGACATCTTCTAGTGCATATCCTTGTACTGTGACCTGCTCCTTTCGTAGTGTATCTATCCTTAGGACCTTTGACTTTCCGTGGTGGATCCTTAATCCAACAGACTCCGTTAGGCTATTTAAAATTGTTGTTTTTGTTTGCATCTGTTCTCGAGTGTGTGATAGAAGCGCCATGTCATCTGCAAAGTCTAGATCGTCCAACTGTGTCCATGGGGTCAACGGTATGCCGTTTCGATGTCCTCTGGTGGTTTCGTTCACCAGGCAGTCGATTGTCAAGATAAAAAGGAACGGTGATAGTAAACATCCGTGTCTCACACCGGTCTTGATGTAACAGCTGTCAGTGAGCTGGTCATCATGTATAACCCCGCAACCTGTCCCTTCGTACATGGTCCCGGTGAGGTTAACCAACCTCTGTGGGATTCCGTGATATCTCAGTATCTTCCACATTGCTGCTCGGTCTATGCTGTCAAAGACCTTCTCATAGTCAAGAAAGTTGACGATCAACTGGGAGTTCCGCTGCTGGGTTTGTTCCACTACGATCCTCAGTATAGCAATCTGGTTCGTGGTTGACCGATTTTTTCCGAAAACCAGCCTGTTCATCCTGAAGTCTTGGATCCGTTGCAGACTTGATTTTCTCCAGAATGATTCTGTTAAGACCTTACCTGGTATTGAGAGAAGAGTGATTCCTCGGTAGTTGCTGCAGTTGCTGCGGTCCCCCTTTTCAGGTAGTTTCACAAGGTGTCTTTCTTTCCAATCCTTTGGGAACTTGCTATCATTCCAGATCCTGGTAAACAATGGAAGAAGGAGGTCTACCGTCACATTGGCATCTGTTTTTAGGGCATCGGGTGGAATCTGATCAGGACCGGCCGCTTTACCCGCTCTTCAGCTTCTTAATGGCATCCGTAATCTCTTGTTTCGATGGGGAATCACAGCAGATTGGTAGCTCATTTCCTGCTGGAAAGATGTTTGGCGGGTTACTTGGTGGTGGTCTGTTCAGGAGACTGTTGAAATGCTCTACCCATCGTCTTGACTGAGCTTTCTTTTCAAAAATGGTTTTTCCCTCTTGGTCCTTTAATGTTACTTCTGGATTCCCATATTTTCTAGAAAGAGTCTCTGTAGTCTGGTAAAGGATTTGCATGTTCCCTTCTGCTGCTGCCTCCTCTGCCCTCTCTGCAAGCCTGTTCATGAATTCCTCCTTGTCTTTTCACATTGATCTCTTTACATCTTTAGCTGTTGTCCTGTACTGCTCCAATGTGTCCGCTTTTGATCCCCTTGTTCTACTTGCATTTGTCTCTGCTTTCAATTGTTTTCTAATGCCAATCAAATCCAATGACCATTGGCAAATTCATTCCTTATGCTGCAATTTCTTCGCACCGAGTATTTCTTGATATGTTGAAGTAAGGACTTCTTTGACCCTGATCCAGTGCATTTCCACCTCCATGTCCTCCTCACCAAGATCCGCCAAGGGTTGAAACCTGTTCCTCAACTGCCGTTGAAACTCCTGTTTCTTGTGCCCATCTAAAAGACTTACTTGGAACTTCATTCTTTTGGTTCCTGTTCTGGTTCCATGCTTTTTGAGACGAAGCTTGAGCTTTGCTAATAGCGGATGGTGATCCGATCCAACGTCTGCCCCTCTCTGTACTTTGACAGCTTCCAGTGACGCCTGAACCTACGGGAGACACAAAAATGATCTATCTGGTTCTCCGTCATACAATCCGGTTATACTCAAGTAGTCTTGTGGACCCTCTTGTGGGGAAAAACATAGCCTCCGATGACAAGACTGTTGAAAGCACAGACATTTGCAAATCGCTCAACGTTCTCATTCATTTGTCCCAGGCTATGTTGACCCATGATTCCCCCATAACCTACGTTGTCCTGACCAATCTTGGCATTAGCATCTCCTATTATGATGTTGACATCCTTCCTTGAGCTTTGAGCCTGGAGCCGGCTTTAAAAAACATCCTTTTCTTCATCCGAAGCATCGTTTGTTGGGGCGTTGATCTGTACTATGTTCATGTTGATGCTCTTACTCCTGGTAGTAAAAGAAGCCATGATGATCCTCTCTCCCTGTGGTTCCCATCCTTTAAGTGACTTCTGTTCATACTTACTCAAAATAGTTCCTTCTCCCTCGGCATGGTGCTTGTCTTCCCTCCTATAATACAGCACTTGTTCCCCCGAGCTGAGCTGCTTCTGTCCAGCCTGTATCCAGTGGGTTTCGTTGACTCCCAGTATGTGCAGCCTGTATCTTTTCATCTCTTGTGCCACTTGAGAACTCTTTCCTGCTTTATACATGGTGCGAACATTCCACGACGCAATCCGGAGATACTTGTTTGACAGAGAAGGTTTCGGGTCAGAAGAGTCATTTCGGCTTTGTCCGCTGTCCTTCATTGTTCCTGCTGATGCAGAAGCTGCTCCGTCTCCCAATATGGAAAAATTATAAGGTGTGTTTGTTCGTGTTTCTATAACTTTCAATTTTTACTGGGTCGGGTAGTTGGCCCTCCGCAAACTGAACTTTTCGGGTGGCCAGACCTATACACCTTTAGTTGCCTCTTACGACACGCAGTATCATGGCAGGTGTATTCTTTACTCCGCCATAGTAAAACTATGGAGCCCCCCATCTGCAGGGGCGTTGTCACACTCTTGTGACCCTCTATTTCCGGGATGCCTTGAAATTTGAAGCAGACTGTGTGCTGTTGAAGCTAGAGAGGTGGGCAGAGTAAGCCTGACTCCCAGTAAGGATTTCTCTGTTGACATCCACCCCCTGGCGCTGTATGACCTTACGAATGAGAGTCGTATACAACCGCAGATTCAGGGCCTGAACCAGTCAAGACCTCTGCCAGAGAGGCCAAACGTGTTGAACAATCTTTCAATAAGAATAGTGTGGTCTATTATAATTGTCAAAGGCAGCACTAAGATCAAGAAGAGACAGAATTGAAATTTTGGTCTCATCCGCCTCAAGTAGGCTAACTTCTCAAGCTGAAGAGCTGAGGAAAGGAAATAGCTCGTGATTTGACGCAATTAGCTATTCATGCCGTCGTGGCGCCTTATCAGCAGGGGGGAAATTCCACACCTGTATACTAAACACCTCTGTTCCACACACAAGTACATGATCAAAATGGCTAGTGAATGCACTAAACTACACAGCTGTTGTTGTTTGTGTTTCGTTCATTCACTTAAGACTGTTTACTTCGTCAGAAACTACTAATACAGTCGAACCTGCCATGATAGCCACCTGTATGATACGACCACTTGTAGAAACTGCCACTTTCCCCTGTCATAACTGATTCACCTGTCGTTATTGTTAGTCCCTTTAATAGACGAAAAACGGTCACATTGATTAGGTCACGCTCAATGTTACCCAAGCTGACCGAGGGGGCTCTCGTGGCCTAGAGGTTAAGGTATTCGCCTCTCATTCAATATGTTCCTGGGTTCGAATCCGGATAGCGACGGAAAATTTTCTTCTCTAAAATGTTCTCCTTTGACATCATTTCCTGTTCTCTAAAAATGTTCTGTCGTCTGCTTTCGTCTTCACTTTCTGCCCTCACCCCCTTCACCTCCATTGTCCCCTCTTTTGGGGTCCTGACTCTTTCTGCTGCCTTTCTACTGCTTCACCTTGCCCCTTTTTACTGCTGTTTTTCAGCCACAATCCTGATCTTACGGTAGGTAAGATCAACACCCAGTCTTCTCGGACAAGGGCGAAAAATCACGGAGGTCACGTGTGCAAGTTGGTGCGCCAAACTTGATAAGAGTAGGCTTTGACAGCGACCCGGGCAAAACAAAAAAATTCCTACCAACTAAACATGTTTTGAGTGCTTTGCGCACTCATAGGCCTTTATGCAGTTGCAAGCGCCGTAAGACACTTAAGAAAAAACAACAACAGAACAAACAATCAAGTTGACCAAAGTGTAATAGTAAATCTTCAGCTGCTGGTAAGGGAAGCGTGTAATCCGTCGTAACTTATAAGCCCTGCCCACAACTCAGTCCGTAAACCCTGTCCATAACAATGGGAGTCAACACAAACTCGCGACAGTGGTGTCACTAACTCGTTCGTCGAGTTGTGGCAACCCTTTAAACTGTGGGCTACCATAGCACTCGGTCTTTCTCGTCTGAAAAATTTAGTTTTGTTTTGACTTTTCACGGAAAAAGAATTCTTTAAAAAAGCATGGGAAAACTACAACTAACAACAAAAAGTCCCACAAAAAGCGTCCTATCCTCTCTCCCCTTCAAAAGAAAACATTAATTAGCCTTACGGCAGTCCAAGCCTGCGTCCGCCTCCATTTCGGACGAGAGAACATCAGAGCTGCGCACTTTTGAAAAAAAAAGATGAAAGTCGCGCACTTTTTGACGCCATCGATACACTTAGCCTAGATTGCCGATTGCCAAAATCAATACCACCCAACGTTTCCTCTTGTCAGTCATGGTGATTTGGAGGGGAATGATGCTGCTAATTCTTTCTGTTCCCGTGTTTCAACTAACCACTTATCTGAGTAATTTTGGGCACACTCACTATACTCTTAGGGCTTAATGAAACAAACAAACCCGTAAGTAATTCTAGCATTAGACGTATAACTGTCGTATTCACTTCGTCAATTGACTCAACTGGATAGAAGTTTTCTACACACTGAATTCGGATGTTTTTAAAATTGTGTTGTATATATTGAACAGACCGCAACCGTTTTTTGTTGATCTATAATGCCGTATGAATAAAGGGAGAGGGGGGGGGGATCCTTTGCCTTCAAAATGGGCTTAATTCTTGTCTTGTATTACTAATTACACTTTATTTATTTTACAGGGGTCATAATATAAGGGGCTAGTATTTCAAAGGTAAGGAGGTATATAAGGAGTTCGCATTTCAGGCTATATTGTGTGGAGGTATAAGAGCTACACTACATGTAATGAGATTGGGTTTAAAAGCAGACATGAACAGAGGATCACAAAATCTCTTCTTGAATATAAAACATTCCCCTCTTCCCCTCAACGTAAACTGCAACAATACCCAGCCTATCCAGCACAACCCCCTCCCCCTTGGCAAAATGTAATGTGTGTGTGTGGGTGGGGGGGGGGGGGGCGGGGTGGCGGGTAGAAAATGGAGTGATCTTGTCCAACAGTCACTCTGATGTCCGTTTATCATACTTTACTCACAAAGCAAGGAGGAGATATAGCGAAAGCAATTGGACGGTATATAATATTATTTAAAAAAAAAGAAATTCTGGTAACTCAAATCACCCTGTCCTCATGTTCACACAAGATAAACAGGGGGTTTGGTGGATTTTGGTTTACGACCGACCTTTGAAAAGGGGAGCTTGTTATGATGAGAAAGAAAAAGAAAAATTAAACTTACCCTTTTTTACGCCTCCCATCGACTTAATTTAGATCCTTTAGACGGCGACCTATGACCCTTCCTCTCAAGGCCAACCCGAGGGGGAACAAATCTCGGAGGTCCCATGTGCAAGTAGTAAACGTTAATGATTTCTTGGAGGTCGTAAAATCGATCAGAATAAGAGTAGGCTTTGGCCGCCTCTCTTACTTTACCTTATCCTTCCTCTTGTACATTCTAATGTATCTAGGGCGTCGAGGGGAGAAAGAACTTTCTGCCTGCA